TCATTTTGATTTGCTTTATTGTCAGTAATGTTTCACTAGACCCTTCCATTACGCTGCCTTCATTATGGGGGAACACTCATGCCACCTTCCCCACTGTTCATCTCCAGGACACTATTTTCTTTAATATACAAAGGAACTAAGTTACTTTTAAAAATGTATTGATTTTTAGAGAGAGAGAGAGAGAGATCAGTTTGCTGTTCCACTTATGCATTCATTGGTTGATTCTTGTATGTGCCTTAACTGGGGATCAAACCCATAGCCTTGGCATATTGGGATGACATGCTAACCAACTGAGCCACCCAGCCAGCGCCTAAGTTACCTTTTTAAAGGAGATATATCTAGCATTGAAAACCCACCACCTCAATCTTTACTAAATGCCTTAGGCTACTTAAACGAGCCTCCTCAGGTTAAACAGAAAAGCACACAAGAAAAGCTCTGTGGATTCATCTGAGGATGAATCTGGACCAGTTTTTAAGTGTGGGTAGAGTCAAGAAAGACAGATGTTCCCATGTGCTCTCATTCCACAGTGGCAGCCAGGATCAACCTGACATATAGACTGAATGAAGCAGTACTTCTTAGAATAAATGAGGGACACCAAGCAGGTCACCATTCCCCAAAACCTTCTCATCCATCCTGAGGCCCAAAATGTTGGCATTCGTGTGCTGGGTATTTTGACCTGTAATGTGCATTGATTTGATAAACACTTAAAGAGGAAAAACGTCCATCTGGAGTGACTTGGGAGGATTATGTTGTGAGTGAACATGAATTTTCCAGTTGCCTATAGGGAGAGGGAGTTCTAAGAGAAGAGATTTGCAAATGTCCAGAGATGAGATGGAATCAACAGTGAGACCAAGTCAAGGAAGCCTTTGATACCAGATGATCAAGTAGGGGCTGGATATGCTGGACCAAGTGAAGATCAGAACTGTGTGTAAGGAAGACAAATGTGGGAAAATGCAGAGTGGAATAAATGAATGGACAGAAATCAGAGGTAGAAATAGTAATTAAGAGGTGACCATAAAAATTTACCAAAAAGACAGAGAGAGACGGGAGTGAGGAAGAGAGAGAACACCCACGCTAGGGTCCTGCCAAGTAATGGAAAGGAAGAGACAGTTGTGATGATGTAGTGGGATGAGAACTGATGGAAGGAGGACTTACACATCCCAAGTCGGAGGTGCTGGCAGGACATCCCAGAGAAAATGGACCATCTGACTGTAAGATGGAAATAGGGGCCCAGAGCCTAGAAGAGCTGATGATAAGGAGGCGGCAACGGGAGCTGGTGGGCAGAAGCCAAGGAGAGGGTGCTTCATCCCAAAGTCTCCTAAAGTTTCCCACTTAAGCAGAAAATTCCAGAAGGAATGCATTGAAGCTTGTCCTAGCCATTAGCAAAAACTTTCTTACCACTTGGTAGAGGTATCTGCCAGTAAATCCGAGAGTGACATCATGGTAGCTCTACATAATGAAAGCTGAGTCCAGAGCCCAGGTTCTGCTACAGGAGAGCAGCGATGGGTGGGTTGGACTGCGGGTCCTGGACGTCATGAGGGTACCATGTTGTCCATCAGGGTCCAGGGCAGGAGGGGGGTGGAGAGAACACCCTACGGAGGTGGGAAGGGCTGGTGGCAGAGTGGGGGTGTGAGGGGCAGAGAAAACTTAGGGTGGGGAGGCCTACCCACCCTTCAGGTCCCTGGCACTTCTACCCTTTCACGCTGAAAGGCTTTCTGCATCTGTAAAAAGAAAGAGTGTGGGCCTCTCTTACTCCTTCATATAGATTAGTGAGGTCTCAGAAATTCTGATGTTCTGGGGAGACTATTTGAGAACCATGTCCTCCAAGACACATTCATTTCAATGTGAGAAGACCCGAATTCCTGTCCCAGCTCCACTACTTGATTAGGGTTGCTGGTGTTATATACCACTAGGTAAAGTGCTTAGCTACTCAGGTATGTCGGTCCCGAGAAGCTAAGTAACCTTGCTTTGAACAAAGAGCTTGGCATCTCTGGCCCTGAATGTCCTCAAATGTGCTGTGGGAGTCTATGACAAATGTGCTTCGTCATAGACAAAGGTCAGGTGACATAAAGGATGTGAAAGTACCTTGGAAACTGTCATTCACTGTTCAGATCCTGGTTGTGGTGTACTTGTGTGAAGTTCCCTGTCAGCTTTGAGAACTTAAAGAAAACAGTCCTGGTGAGTGAGTTCCTTCATGACTGAGCAGCGACGAGCAGATATTTGCCTCCCCACCCTCCTTGCTGCCTTTTTCCAGGAGAACTGCTGTCTCCTTTTTTGATGGAAAATGGTGGTTTTTTTTCTCCCCTGCCAATTCAATGGTCCACCTATTTTTTCCTCTAGCCCACATTCCCTGTCTGCATTATTAGACTAACAAACTGGAAAAAGTGAAAGTAATCCTCCCCATTCCTGGCCCTGAGAGCACTTTCCTACCAAGACCTTTAGTCCCTCTGAGCTTGTCCCGTGAACTATGAATGAGGCTCAGCAGTAAGGACAGTAGTGTCCCCGCAGCACTGGTGGAGGGGACAGGAATGCCAGGTGGGATGTAACAGAGGAAAAGGCCTCCCTGGCGTGGTGAGCAGGACAGTGACTCTCACCATTTGATTGCCTGCCTTTTTATCTAATTTAACTCTTTAGGTATTCCTACAACACCTTATATGGTGGTTGTCACATAACAGGTCATTAAGACTCATAGAGAGCAGGCTGTTAGCTCCCGGGGGAGGTTTGGAGTATAAAGGGATCAAGCAAAAAAAAAAGAAAAAGAGATTGAATTGATGAGCACAGACAACAGTATGGTGATTGCCGGTGGTGGGGAGGTGGGGTGGTGGAGGTGGAAGAGGGTATGGGGGGATAAATGGTAATGGAAAAAAATAAAATAAAAACAAACAATAAATATTTGTCAAATAAGTGAAAAAAAAAAAGAGGAAATAAGTAGGAGGGGATCTTGATCCCAACCTGCACAGTTTTAGCTGGTGACAAAACGGTCCCGGTTGCTTAGGAAAACCCAGGTCCGTGGTGCGCGTTGTGCTGCTGCGGCACCAGCGCGAAGCCGTCCCTCCCCTGGAAACATCAGTGGGCACTAGAAAGTCTTGTGCCGTTAGGATCTATCCTAAATGTGTAGAGCAGGAGGGGTGTGCTTAGTAAAGAAACGTTTTTGTTAAAGAGAAAAATACTGTCAATAGTAGTACGGTTAAACAGTAAGCAAGCCTTAATGTATGTATCTTGTATGTCTAGATGTTTTTAAATTAGAAGTTTTATAAGATAAAATTTTAACTATTGCAATGGATTTCATATTGTCCCATTTATACTTTTATGTTTTAGGTCCTCCTGGTCCCAGGGGTCCAAAAGGTGACAGAGGACAACAGGGCCCCCCTGGTCCCACTGGCAACAAGGGACAGAAAGGAGAGAAGGGGGAGCCCGGGCCGCCTGGCCCCGCCGGTGAGAGGGGTCCAGTCGGGCCAGTTGGCCCCCCTGGAGAGCGAGGTGGCAAAGGCTCCAAAGGCTCTCAGGGTGCCAAAGGCTCCCGAGGGTCCCCAGGAAAGCCTGGTCCGCAAGGTCCCAGTGGGGACCCAGGCCCCCCAGGCCCCTCAGGCAAGGATGGACTCCCTGGCCCGCAGGGCCCTCCCGGCTTCCAGGGACTACAGGGCACTGTGGGGGAGCCCGGGGTGCCTGGACCACGGGGGCTGCCGGGCTTGCCCGGGGTGCCAGGCATGCCTGGCCCCAAGGGTCCCCCGGGTCCCCCGGGTCCCCCAGGCCCATCAGGAGCAGCAGTGCCCCTGGCCCTGCAGAACGAGCCAACCACAGCACCTGAGGCCAATGGTAAGTCTGGGCAGTCTCTCCCTCCCTGGCACCAGGGGACAGGGCCAGCGCGTGTGCTTGTGCTTGTGCTTGTGGCTGGGCTGGGCTGGCCCCAGTGTGCAGCTCCAGGCCCCCCTACACCCCATTTGGTAGCAAAGGCTTCACACGGGGGAGGGGAGGCGGCATCACTGAGGCACGTGCGTTTCTCTCTAAACATAATCAGGTTCTCTAGCCCTCGTTTATTTAGCTGAGTCTGGCCCTCGGGGACAGACACATCCCCAGATGTTCCCTTCGTGCAAGTCTAAGGATGGCCACTCCCAACCCATCCTGTCCCACTTTGTGCCCTTCACCTGGGGACAGACGTCCCTCAGTTAACATGCAGGTGGCACTATTACCGAAGCCCAGATGTCATTTCTTTTGAAAAGGTATCGTGGTAACTTCTAGCCTTTTCATAAATAAACCTGTGGTAAAACCCTAAACCCTGGGTTTGCACCCACGCCTATTTCTCGCTCCTTTGGCCCACACCTGATTCCAGTTGACTCCCGATTCCACTCGATTTCCTTCAGCACAGCCTGCGTCATCTTGCCGTTCCGTGAGCCTGAGTGGGTTCTGGGTTCTCCCCTCTAGCTGTCTGTAGGTTCCCTCTGACCCCAGACTGACACTGAACATTTGTGCCGGCACTGCATTTTGTCGTTGTTTCTATTACTTGTCATTGTAAAGACTCATCCAGATGTAGAGGAACAAAGACCCAGAGCAGATATTTTCCAGATTATGTAGTTTTAACTTCTGTGTCCTCTGCAGTCCACTTCCCTATACTGTCCTTGCTCCCAGCATGTCCATGAATGTCACTCACGGGCTCTACACATGGACACAGGGATTGCTCCTGGCCTGCGGGGGAAATGGGGCTGTGGCCTCATAAACATAGCTGAAGAAGGCATGGTGCTTTTCGTGTTTTGTGTTTAATCAGTATTGTAAACCTTTGCATTCCTAGGCTGCCCACCTCACTGGAAGAACTTCACAGACAAATGCTACTATTTTTCGGTTGAGAAAGAAATTTTTGAGGATGCAAAACTTTTCTGTGAAGACAAGTCTTCACATCTCGTCTTCATAAACACGAGAGAGGAACAGGTATGCTTGTAGCATACTTAGAGTTGGGGAAAAACTATAATTTAGGGATAGTTGACATCTGGAAATTGCATGCTTACCAGGGAGTCAAAGATGTCAAGAATTCCTGGTCATAAACACAGAAGGCTGCATTATGGAGATTTGGGCTTTATCCAGTGATGAGAAGCATTCCTGGCATGGGAATTATATCTTCTTGCTTTCACCTGGAAAATTGCTTGATCGAGCCTGAAGATGTGTGGCTCCTCCCAGCGGCTGTGGAGAGAGCGACAATGCAGAAGGGAAGCCTGCGGGCTGGCACCAGGCACCTGAGGAGAGAGTGGCAGGGAGGAATGAGCCCTGTAGGGCTGGAGTGGAGTGTAAGGGACCAGACATGGGGCCCAGCAAGGTCAGGAGAGCAGAAAAGGCCACAGGGGTGGAGCCCACACGGAAAAACAACAGTGACTGTTCACGAGGCCTTTACTGTGTGCCAGGCACCATGCAAGGTATTTTCTGCTTTAAACCCACCCTAGTGAGGGTATTATTATCCCTAATTTACAGATAATAAAACCGAGGCTCCACAAGGTTTAAGTGATTTAGTCATGGGGCAGTGAGTAAATGCAGAGCTGAGCCCGAAAGTGAAGTCCATCTAGCAACAATGCCCATGGTCTTTCTTTGGTGCCACACTGTTCCAGTGGCCTCCTTCCTTTTCTTAAGTATCTCTGGCAAGTACACCCCTGAAAACAGATGCTTCCCACAGTGGCTGACTGAGAATGAGCACACAGCCAGGTGCATGGGCTTTAGGATATACAGAGCTGGGCCCAATCCTAGCTCAGCCACTATCTTTATTGTATAGGTTGTTATAAGGCCCAAAGACATGTTGCATGTGACGTACTGGAGATGGCACCTGGCCCAGAGGAAGAGCTGGCCGGTGCTGTAGCTGTTACTACTGTAGGAGAACACGGGAGGGCAGGGGGTGAAGGGGATGGAGCCTGGTTGAACTCCAGTGGTTTAGGTGATTTGGAGGAGTAAGAACATCGCTGAACTATCACTTATGAGTTTGTAAGAGGAAAACTATCAGAGCCCCCAAACAGTGCAAACAAAACAAGTACAGTTAAAAGAGAACAGCAAAAACAGGGTAATGTGCTGACAAACATCCTCTTTTAAATTGTCTTTTTCTCCTAAACGTGGGAGGGGGGAAGCCCCTACACATCTGTTCCAAGAAATACTAATGTACCGTCTCTGGTTGATTGTTCAGCAATGGATAAAAAAACAGATGGTGGGGAGAGACAGCCACTGGATTGGCCTCACCGACTTGGAGCACGAAAACGAATGGAAGTGGCTGGATGGGACGACTCCAGAATATAAGTGAGTGCTCAGAAACTTCCAGATGGGTGGTCAGAATCTTGCTCTTCTGTTTTTCACCTTTTGCCTGACTCTACAATTTCTTTCTTAGTGACTTTATGTCCTAGACACTCCTCACACTGAGGTTCCTGTATTTCTATGAAGGGAAATTGTGGATGGGACTCTACATACTGTAGAGCGAAGTTTTTCCTTTTTCTTTTCATGGAGTGAATTTTTTTCATTTCTGTGAAAAAAAAATCAGACTCATAAAACCACACAGTATGCACTTGTGGCTGAAACGTTTTTTAAATGCTGCTGTGAAGGAGAAGGAGGCCCAGACGACCTCAGGCACATTCGGAGTTCACCCCAGGCACAGTCCGGTTCTGACGTGGGCTGGGGAGCTCCCTTCCAGATAACACCATCCATGCCCCTAACCTCGCTGGGCTTCTGTCCAGAATGTGATTATAAACTACAAGCTTACAACTCTCCTACACATGGGAAGTTCAAGTACATCACGAACAAAGGTGTTTGTGGGATAACCATCTCCTAAAGGTCTGAAGATTCCCTGTGTGGTCCAATGTGACCTCAGTTCTCTAAAGGCAGCGACAAAGAATGGAAGCACGTCACAGGGCCTCTCAGAGCTCCTGGGGGCACAGAAGTCTTCACAAGCCTCCTCCTACCCTGGTGTCCACCACCCCTAATGATCTGAAATTTCACTTCTTCCTCCTCCTGCTTTGCTTCTGATGGATGTGAAAATATGCAATAAACTGTACCAAATGGAGCAGAATTTATAAAAACCCACCTCTGAACCCTTCCTTTTCTGGAGACAGAGAAGACAGGCCCTGCAGAGGTGCCAGTAGGTAGGAGGGCATCTCAGCATGAGGAGCACCTCTCAAGCATGGAGGAGACTGCAGCATCCATGCAGCAGGAGAGGAGAAAGCAAGGGTTTCAGGTCTCAGACAGTGTGTCGGGCATCAAGGCTGGTCACTGCAGGAGCCAAGGAGCAGGAGGGGTCAGAGTGGAGGGGCCACAGGCACGTGGGTTGACAAACAGGCTTCTCTGTACTTTTAAGTCCTTCATGTGAAAAGAATGATTAGAAGATAGATGGGCCAGAATAAGGCCATTTCCTAAAAAACAGTTTTTTAAAAGTGACCAAAAGTCAAGGTGGAGCATTTGAAGATTTTAGGTCTGCTGAAGGTCAGACTGGCCCCAGAGCACTGGTATCAGCCTTCGGGCCTGAAAGATACCCTGTGTCCTCCGCTCCGCACCTGTCCATGGGGAGAGGGAGTGACACTGCATCCTGGTCCCTGGGAATTGGGCTGTCAGCCAGAGGAACGCACCTAGCATGGCACAGGTGCACTTCAGGAGGCGCAACACAGGTGAGCACTGGCAATGGAGGGCTGGGGGTGGGTATGGGAGCCAGAGATGAGTAAGGAAAAGATAAATCTGTGACTTTGACAGTTAAGAGTGCCAAGATCTTTTTTTTTTTGGTAAGGGAGTTGGAGGGGAGCTGAAAAAAAAATCAGTCTCCACTCTTCTCACAGCCATAAATGCAAAAAAGGTCTGGATTAGACTCACTAAGAAATTCAATCTTAAGCCTTCCTCCAAGAAAAAAAAATGAACTGGCTCATATGGAACGGATTGAGGAGAAACATTGCTGTCCATGCCAGCCCTCCCAAAGTGGAACTTTCCTGCTCTTCCCCAGGCTCCAGCAAGAGTTACATTATTTAGAAGGAGAGCACCAGCATTGGTACCTGGGACCTGAGAAGGATTACATCACCAGACACCTTCCCGGGACTCTGTCTGTCCCCAGCCACAGCCACCCTGGAGCCTCCTGCAAGCTTGGCTCCTGTGTCAGCCACAGTGCAGACTGTGCTTCTCATTTTCCACCCAAAGGAATACATATACATGTAAAAACCCCCAGGATCAAGTTTTAAAAGCAAGGATAAATTAGGCAGACATATTATGAGGCCTCAATAACTCAAGACTAATTCAATTTGACATGGAATAATAAACATTGAATAGACTAGAAAGACAGCCAGTGCAGTGAGGGGAGAGAGCACATGCCCTGGAGTTGATCGACGGTCTGGGTTCCAGGCCTTGACGGAGCACTCAGCAGCTGCTCGACCTTGTGTGGGTTACTCAACCATGTCAGCTCTCCATGTCCTCACATAAAAACGAAATTATGAAAGGACCCACAGGGGTATGTGACTATTAAATAATATATATAAAGCATTTAGTACTTGGCCCATGGGAAGTGCTTAGGAAATGTCACCTGCTAGTATTGATATTATTAAAGCTAATATTGTCATAATCCTAACTATTTTCATACTAGTCAGTAATTACAGAATACTACTACTTAGCATTTATATATCAGTGTCCTGATGGAGATGCCTCACACAGTCCCTCAGATATCATAGTAAGTTTGTAAAGAAGCATGTTTTCTGCCAGGCCCTGGGATAGGGCCTGGGTGTCAGCTCTCGGTCTCCCACCAGTGTGAGTCTCCCCAGATACTCCTGTCTGTTCAGACTCACCTACACCCTCCTCCTCTTTGCTTCTGCGGCCTCCAAGCACTGGTTCCTCACCTTCCCTTTCCCCTGCCACAGATTCCTTTTTACTCTTTCTACACACACTCACACTCATAAGCCCTTTTGAAATTGTTTCAGGGTTTTGTCATTACTGTTAAAGAGGAAATAGACAAGGGGAAAAGGCTGTCTCCTCTGCCTCTTGTAAACTATCCATGTTTTATGCTGATATCTGATTGAGGAAAGACAGTGCTGAAATAAATAGAAAGCAATAGTCACATGGAATAAATGCCAAAGGCTGAGGGCACACACAGATCTGGACTAAGGTTTATTTCCAGTAAAGCATATGACCCAACTCACTGACTCTTAGGGCCAGCAGCTGGGGAAAAGGATGGCATGGGAAACCATGTGCGATGTCTCAGAACAGGGTCTGAGACAGGGTCTTCAATGCTTCAGGTCCGCAAACCAACATAATTCCCAGAGAAAAACTGGAGGGCTGACATAACATTGCCAAGATTGTATTTGACAGTTATGGACATGAGTTTTTAAAATCACCTATCAACAAACCTCAGCACTATAAAAAACAAAGATAAGTCCAGGCTGGTGTAGCTCAGTGGATTGAGCATGGGCCTGTGAACCAAAGGATCGCGGTTCAATTCCCAGTCAGGGCACATGCCTGGGTTGCAGGCCAGTTCTCAGCGGGGGATGCACGAGAGGCAACCATACATTGATGTTCCTCTCCCTCTCTTCTTCCCTTTCCCTCTAAAGATAAATAAATTTTTAAAAAATCTTTAAAAACACTGATCCCTGTTAAAAAAAAAACAAAGATAAAACCTGCAATTCTTTTCAAGAAATGACAGCTGACCATCATACACACACACACACACACACATACACACACACACAGTCCTTATTTTTCTCCTTTCACCACAGACCTGTGAAAACTTCACTGAGGCCAGCACCAGCCCTCTGACTGGAGATTGGGATCCACTGGGCCCCAGCCCTGTGGTAACATTCAGTGAGTTGTCCTGGGGCAGCCACTGTGAGCCAGCCTCCCTGCTGGCCTGGAGGATCCTTTCCAGAGTGTGTGGGTAACAATATGAGTGAGAGGCAGTGTTCTTCCACTTATATAAGAAAATCTGATTTCCAGGACCACATATGTATCAACCCCAAATGTCGACACAGGAAAGAACAGGGCTTCAAAAGAGATTTCAACATTCGTCTCTCAGTAACTGTAGGACAAGGAGAAAAACCAGAAGGGATAGTAAGCACTGCCACTTAAATTGACTTCACGCACATTATGGAACATTTCATCCAACAATTACAAATATATACTCTTTTCAAATGCTTATGGTACATTCACCAAGATAAACTATTCACTGGGCCCTCTAACAAGTTAGTCTTAATAAATTTATTTTTTAAGCTTTTATTTACTTGTTTTTTAGAAGAAAGGGAAGAGAGGGAGAAAGAGAAGGAGAAACATTGATGTCACAGAGAGATATCAATTGGTTGTCTCTCACAAAACCCCAACCAGGGACCAGCCTGCAATCCAGGCATGTGCCCTGAGTGGGAATCGAACCTGAGATCTTTTGGTTTGCAGGATGATGCCCAACCCACTGAGTTACACCAGTTAGGGCAAGTCTCGATACATTTAAAAGCAATGGAATTATACAGAGTATATTCTCTGACCAAAACAAAATTAAATTAGAAATCAAGAACAAAAAAAAAAAAAACCCTGGAAAATCCACAAATATTTAGAAATCAAAGAACACATGTCTAAATAACCCATGGGCCAGAGGAAAAAAAAATCACAAAGGAAAATTTCAAATGTTTCAAACAAAATGAAAACACAACATACAAGGTTTCTTGGGATGCAGCTAAAACAGTGTTTAGAGAGCATTTATAGCTTTACAACACTTTAAGAAAATTTTAGTTTCCGGCCAAGATGGAACCTTGTGTAGGTAGAAACACTATGCTTCCTCGCACAACCAAAAGAAGGATAATAACCAATTTAAAAACAATAAACAGCCAGAAATTCCAGAAAATTAAATTGAATGGAACTCAGACAACCAAGGAGTTAAAGAAACATTCATCCAGACCAGTAGGAGGGACAGAGACAGGAGATGGGCAGCTGAGTGGATTGGCCCCTCCCCACCCAGTGAATACCACCCCTCACAATGTAACAGGTATAAAACAAGGAAATGTGGCCCAAATGAAAGAACAGATCAAAACTCCAGGAAAAGAGCTAAACAATGAAGAGATAGACAACCTATTAGATGCAGAGTTTGAAACACTTATAATCAGGATGCTCACAGAATGGATTGAGCCCAATCACAAAATGAAGGAGAAAATGAAGGTTACCCAAAGTGAATAAAGCAAAATATATAGGAAACAAACAGTGAAAGGAAAGAAACAGAGACTCAAATCAATGATTTGGGACAAAAGGGAGAAATAAACATCCAACTGGAATGGAATGAAGAAATAAGAATCCATAAAAATGAGGAGAGTCTTACAAACCTCCAGGACAACTTTAAATGTTCCAATATCCAAATCATAGGGGTACCAGAAGAAGAAGAGGAAAAGCAAGAAATTGAAAACTTATTTGAAAAAATAGCGAAGGAAAAATTCCCCAGTCTGGCAAAGGAAATAGACTTCCAGTCAGTCCAGGAAGCTCAGAGAGTCCCAAAGAAGTTGGACCCAAAGAGGAACACACCAAGGCACATCATAATTACATTACCCAAGATCAAAAAGAAGGAGAGAATCTTCGAAGCAGGAAGAGATAAGGAGACAGTTACCTACCAAGGAGTTCCCATCAGACTGTCATCTGATTTCTCAAAAGAGACCTTGCAGGCAAGAAGGGGCTGGAAAGAAGAACTCCAAGTCATGAAAGGCAAGGACCTACATCCAAGATTGCTCTACCCAGCAAAGCTTTTATTTAGAATGGAAAGGCAGAGAAAGTGCTTCCCAGATAAGGTCAAGTTAAGGGAGTTCATCATTACCAAGCCCTTGTTATATGAAATGTTAAAGGGACTTATCTAAGAAATATAAGATCAAAAACTATAAACAGTAATTTGACAACAAACTAACAACTATCAACAACTGAGCCTAAAAAACTAAAACTAAAACTAAGCAAACAACCAGAACAAGAACAGAATCAGACAAATGGAGGGGTTTCAGTGGGGAGGGGAAGAATGGAGGGGGAAAGGTACAGGGAATAAGAAGCATAATTGGTAGGCATAAGATAGATGGGGGAAGGTTAAGAATAGTATAGGAAACAGAGAAGCCAAAGAACTTACATGTATGACCCATGGACATGAACTAAGGTGCAGAGAGGATGCTGGCAGGTGGGGGATGAAAGGTGGAGGGGAATAAAGAGGGAAAAAATTTGGACAACTGTAATAGCATAATCAAAATATACTTATAAAAGAATATAAATAAATATTAGAAATAACATGGAGGTAGAATTTTAACAACAACTTAATGGTTATATGATACGAAACTCTAGTGCTCTCACTGAGCAATTCAGAATGCAATTAGCCAAATTAAAGAATGACAGAGATACAGTCTCTCATCAAAGTCGAGAGAATATAAGGCCCTCAGAGGAGAAAGGGTTAAGAAAGAATCTTGGTGCACTTGAAGCAATCAAGCAAAATATGTTTTTATGTTTAAGTGAGTCATTGTATATAACCAGTAAATAATAGCTATGAAAAAAATGAAAGAAAAAAATTTAAGTTGAAAATCAACAATCTAAAGTTCTGCTAGCCAAGCATAAAAGAAGAACAAATTAACCCCATAGTAAGTAGAAGGAAGGAAACAATAAAGAATGGAAAGCAGTGGAACAGAAGACAGACCAGCCAGAGAGAATCAGTGAGCCAGGGGCATGTCAAAGCTAATCTTTCTACTCTTGATGGAATAAATGCAGGTCCATCATTTGACAGAGGTTGTCACTGTTAACAGAGGTGATCTGTTAGCACAGGGGAATCAGACATGGGTGGGGTGTGTAGACTCTGCCCACTTGGTCAGAGCAGAACTGTGAGGTAGCATTTTAAGGCCTTGCCTGCCCACTTGGCTTGCAGTTGGCCACTGTAGATCACCAGAGATGTGATATTCTTCCTGAGGGTTTCCCAAAACACAGTGAATCTGCTTTATTCTTGCCCACTTCTTGGTCCCCTGCACAGCACATCACTTGGTGGGAGTATGCTGTCGATCTATGAGTAACGGTTCTCACCTCTGCATCACAAAGAGAAAACATGGGTAGCCTTTCCATCCACACAGACTGTTCAGTGTAATATATACCGTGATTTTTAGAGTAGAGAGACAGAATGGTGGGGACCAGAAGGAACTCCTCAGTGTCACCTCACTCAGTAGTCCATGCTTCATGTTGCTGTCAGAGGGGCACTGGCGTGGGCCGCGAGAGAGTGCAGTCTTCCACTGGACAGACCTCTAGAGTGGAAGAGAATTCTACAGCAAAAAAGTGCTTCTCACTAGTAAGATTTTCCTGGTTTGAGGTCAGGCTCTTACCAGCAGAAGTTTTTTGGCCATGAAGCCTCAGTCAAGCTTGTGGTCAGTGAGAAAGTTACTAAATTGAGAGATTGGAAGAGGGGAATCCCAAGAGTCAGATGTGTTCTGTCTCCATTAGGATCAGCCAGGATCCCTGGGAAGGGGTGACTGTTGGGGGGGGGGGGTCACATCCACAAGCCGATGTGCTTATGTGTTTCCAGCTCACTGGAACATTGAATCCAAGTGCTTCCCAGGACCCTGGTATACTTATAATATGGGTGTGTTGCTACCCAACCACTTCTGTGATGTGTGTATTATAATATGAGATTCAGGGATTTTCAGCCTAGGTCTCTGCCATTCTTTTCCCAAAATCTATCCATGAATGAATGAACTTGTTCTACTTAAGCTGTGTTTTATCTCCAAATACATGCATTCTGTTTATCTAACATGTTCTGTTCTGTTTTATTACAAACATGTAGACTGAGAGGGTTTCAACAAATCACTCCATGTGATTTTAGCTTTTCCAAAGAGATGCTTTGAGACTCTGGGTACTCAGTCTACAGGACAGATTCCCCCGAGGCTGGAGCCTCGGTCAGGACTCCAGCACCCACTCACACGGGGCCCTCCTCACTCACACTGCTCACCTCCACAGAACTGCATTCTACTTTTTGTCCTGAAGGAAATGCCTTGAGTCCTGTAGGTGAAGAATTTAATGACCTGGGAAAACAAATGGAAAATTGTGATAAGAAATTACTTGTGAGCCCTGGCTGGTGTAGCTCAGTGGATTGAGCGCGGGCCTGCAAACCAGATGATCGCAGTTTGATTCCCAGTCAGGGCACATGCCTGGGTTGCACGCCAGTTCCCAGCAGGGGATACAAGAGAGGCAACTATACATTGATATTTCTCTCCCTCTCTCCTTCCCTTCCCCTCTAAAAATAAATAAATAAAATCTTAAAAAACAGAAGAAATTACCTGTGATATCAGTTATCTTTTTGTCTGGTCTATAAATCCCTTTTATTTACTAAAAATGACAAGGAAATGCAAAGTATAAATATTATGCAGGTCTTCTATCAGAAATCATATTTATACAATTTCCCAATTCACTGAGAAATAAAAAATATTGAATGTCCCATCATTATACATTTAAGAATCACAGGTCTCAAATTTGATTAACAAAATTGGAATTGAGCCCCCTTACATTACTGGCACAAATAAACAAAATATACATCCACAAAAGCAAACTACTCTGGCATCATTGACATTTCCAGAGGGGTTCAGAGGGGCAAGGTAGACAGAAATGCACAGAAAAGCATCCATGTGAAGGTAAACTGTTTTTCCTTCCAACTTCATCTCTCTGGCATGACTGTGGCAATCTGGGATTTTTCATTCAGTTTTTCTTGCCCGGTATGTGAGTTCTGTGAGAGGGCCGGGCTGTCTGTTCACCACACTGCTGTGCTGCCATCACCCTGAACTATCCCTGACCCAGAGTAGATGCCCTGCTGATGTCTGTTGTGTGAAGGTGTGAATGAAGTACTATTTTTAACTCTTCCTCCTGTCATCCCATTTTTACTCTCCTCAGTTGACAGTTTCACCTAAATTACCTTTTTATCACTAGTCTTATTTAAATAAGGTCACTCATTCTTTTTTAAAGATCCCCTTTAACTGTAAATTTCAAATGTCCTTTCCCACGGTCCTCTGGTTTTATTGGTTTTCTTGTCAATAGACTAGGACAATTGGGCTCTTATCCTTGGGTGGTTTTAGGCCACACTATGGCTGCTGGAATAATGTCATAGTTTATGGGAAATGCCTCCTGCTCCAGATGTTCTTTCAGATCCTCCACATAAGACAAGCTTGTCCTCTCAGGTAACCACAGGCTTCTGTGCAAGCCCTGCTTCTTAGAGAAAATTTACTTTCCAGTTTTGAGTCTTGGAAGCATGTCTAACTTATTGCATGGAAACAGAATCAAGAACAGCAAACCCTGGCAAAGTGCTGATTTGAGCGGCGGCATCAAGCCCAAGTGAACTCATCCTAAATAAAACTTGTTTTTAAGAATCCGTCTTCCAAAAAAGGCGTGAAATGTATGAGTCATTGTTAGTAAGATTAAATTACTATTTCTTTCTAAAACAATCAGCCATCTACAACTTAACCAGACAACCATAACCAAGTGTTTATAATTATAGGTTCTTGTATATGGAGAGTCTCTCACTTTCTCTGCCTGACTTTTTCACTTCTTACAGCAACAAGGTATGGAAATACACAAAGATTCCTCTCTGGATTCTCACAAGAGTGTGTGCATGTATCATATCCACAGAGTGCATATAAATTCACACACAAATATTTACACACATGCCCAGAAGTCAGCATTGCCATACACACTAGAACATTTTTGTCCATCTCACTGTGTTGAAGAAGGAGTTACCCTCTTAGCATTGTGATGAAGCAGCTCAATGAGTTGATTTCATTGTGACCAAGAAAACCTAGTGGGAAGATCCTGTAAACACATTATAGGCAGACCTCATATCTAGAGCACACAATAAAGCAAGTCATAATCTTTTTGCTGGTGAAGAGTCTTGCCATCAATTTGTAAAATAAAAAAAAAACCTCCTGTGAAGCATAATAAAACAAAGCACAATAAGATAAGGTACACTGTATTCTGCAAAATAGTTAATTATTATTCTGAATAAGAGTATGCACAGATTTTTAAAATTTTTTTTATTTAGTTATTTTTCGAGTACAGTTTTTTGTCTATTTCTCCCATCCCAGCCCCCCCCCCCGCCCCATGCTCCCCACCTCCCTCCCATTTCCACCCCACTTAGTTCTCGTCCCTGTGTCCTTCATATTTGTTCCTCCAAATCCCTCCACTTTTTCCCCCTTAAATTCCCTTCCCTCTCCCCTCTGGTCACTGTCCGCTTCTTCTCTATTTCAGTGCTTTTTATTCTGCTTGCTTGTTTGTTTTGTTGTTTAGCTTCCTGTTAAAGGTGAGATCCTATGGTATTTGTCTTTCAACACCTGGCCTATTTCACTCAGCATAATGCTTTCCAGTTCCATCCATGTCGTTGCAAAGGGTAGGAGCTCCTTCTTTCTCTCTGCTGCATAGAATTCCATTGTGTATATGTACCACAATTTTTTGATCCACTCATTTACTGACAGGCACCTAGGTTGCTTCCAACTCTTGGCTATTGTAAATTGTGCTGCTATGAACATTGTGGTGCATAGGTTCTTTGAAATTGATGTTTTAGGATTCTTAGGATATAATCCTAGCAGATGCACGGACTTTTAAACAATGTATTTTCATTCTAGGACAAATGACGTGCTTCAGTTTTGTTTTTTCTGTTTCCCCACTGCTCTGGGATAAAGACAACTTCTACCTGACTTTGAAAGTAACACTCAATTTCTGTTTTGTTAAAAGAAATTGGAAAGCTGGACAGCCAGATAACTGGGGCTATGGCCAAGGGCCAGGAGAAGACTGTGCTGGGCTGATTTATGCTGGGCAGTGGAACGATTTCCAGTGTGAAGACCTCAATAACTTCATATGCGAAAAAGACAGGGAGACAGGTAAGCAATAAAGGGGATTTAAGAGGGAACTACAGAGCTTCTATCCTGTAAAAGGGTGAGATGACTCTGAATCCGGTCCTGCTTCTGCCACTTACTGTGTGGGCAGGTTATCAACCTCAGGGGAAAAATAATGGCATCCTCTCAATGAGGTTGTTGTGAGGACACAATAATAAATGTGCTTAATGTATAGGAAGTGCTGAGTAAATGTTAGACTAACTGGCTTGGGTTGTAATATTGTCGCTCAATTATTAACATATAGCACCAATGTTGTATCTTTTTCATAGACTTCCAAACACAGACAATTCCAGTAGCCAAGCATTTAATTCCCTGTGTATTTATTGAGCATTTACTATGGGCTGGATGTTGTGCTAAATAATAGAGGGATATACTCAGTGCCCTTATAAGTTAATAAGCCAAAGAGGCTTTTAGAGATTTTTTTTGTTTCAAAAGATACTTATCATAAGCTTCATTTATACATGAACTTCTTTAGAATGTGGGCTCTCAGTTTGCTTCATCAGAACTAGAGGTAAGAGTTTGTAGGGAGAAGGAGTGAATGCTAATAGGTATTCTTTTAGGGGTAATGAAAATGTTCTAAAATATGATTAGTCTTAAATTGTACAACTTTATGAATTTTTTAAAGATTTTATTTCTTTTCAGACAGGAGAAGGGAGGGTGAAAGAGAGAAAGAGAAACATCAATGTGTGGTTGCCTCTCACATGCCCCCTACTGGGGAATTGGCCTGCAACCCAGGCCTGTGCCCTGACTGGGAATCAAACCGGCGGCCCTTTGGTTTGCAAGTTGGTGCTCAATCCACTGAGCCACACCAGTCAGGAACATTGTGAATATTATAAAAAACCACTTCAATTGTATACTTTAAATAATATGTAAATTATATCTTATTAAGTCTATCTAAAAAAAAGTTGGTAGGAGACCTTGGAGGGCAGGCACTATTTTTGCACTCTCCTTCTGCCATGTTGCTGAGTGCCAGTATCTTTCTAAAGGGTACCTCAGTTTTTTGCAGATGCTTCCCAGGGGACATCCCTAGACCACCTGGTTCTCATGGCCAGGAGAGCTTGCATTCCTGAGTCTAATGGGGCTATAATAGAAACAGTTCTTGGCCAGCTACCACCCACCCCTAGAGTATAGCACACACAGCAGAATGAACTACACCCCCCAGTCCTTCTGTGAAAGAGACCTAGTTGCTTGTTCTGGAGCTTTGGCATGAGAGACCAGCATCTGGTTTAGAGCACACCAAGGGGACTACTGAGGCCGGCGGACACAACCTTTTCACAACCCCTCTGCCTCACTCCAGGTCATCAGCATCTCCCAAAAAGGAACTTGTACATTCATTTGGTGCCCTGATCTTTGTGACAACCTCTCAGGAGACTCTTCTGGGTCACCCAGCCCTGGGGGCCAGTGGGGCTTCACTTGTGGTACCATATATATTTGCACATTATACCATACTGTATATATTTGCATATTTTAAAAGCTGCTGCCTAAGGATGTGGACTCTAATCAGTCTGCATCTGGGTGCTGAGTGAAGTCCTCCCCTTTGGGACACTGACAGGTCTTCAAACTGCCTCCACTACTGGGGGTGACTAATTATAAAACAGGCTTCTTGGACAATGACAAGAATTTGGGAGACAACCAAGAGCTAGGGCAAGGTTCAGTGATAAGTTTCATCTCCTATACAATGCTGCTCCCTCAAGACTGACAAAGGTGGTCTTTTATCTAATGCATAGAAACCAATATAGAAAATCAAAGTAAATAAACAAAGAAAAATGTGTTTCAAACAAAAGAACAAGATAAAACTTGAAAAATGCCTTAATGAAATGGAGATAATTTACCTGATAAAGATGCTCACCAAACTTGGGAGAAGAATGGATGAATGAATGTACTGGGAACTTCATCAAAGAAATAGAAAATGTAAGAAAGTCCCCAAAAGAAGTCACAGAGCTGAAGAATACAATAACTGCAATGAAAAATAAACTAGTGGAATTCAACAGTATACTAGATGAAGCAGAGGAAAGGCTCAGTGAAGTCAAGAAGAGAGCAGTGGAACTCACCTATTCAATCAGCAAAAAGGAAAAACAGAATTAAAAAAATGAAGACAGCTTAACAGACTTATGAGACCAGTGGACCAACATTCATATTATAGAGTT